ATAATAATTCAGTTACCTCAGGATGCCGGCTTTCGAACGAACTTCGTTTCGGCAGCAGGCAAAAAACTACACTCTGTTAAAAATGACTACTTACGTAGAATGCATTTTTCTCATTGATTTTCGCTGCCCTCAAAAATTCAATTATGTTTCATAGAAAACATGCAAAAAGTATTCAGTTTTTTGCTTATTGGGTAGGAAATTACGCCTTCATCCAAATCTTTACTCGAAGGAATGGTACAATTCGGTTTTAAAAAAACTTTTCCAACTCCCGAATAATTTTGAACCCGTTCTGTCGTCACACTTAGATTCAGGGTTTCCATAATACAAACCGTACATTTCCCGCGTATGGAAAAGCACAGGTTTCTCAACGGTATTATGAGGAGACCATATAGGGTTCATGAAATTTAGCAGTGAATTTGGTCCATATTGTTAACTTTACAAGCCAAATTGGTGAATGCAGAGACATAAGGTTTTGTGAACGGGCATTTCACGGCATCAAAAAGTCTCACAATTAGAAACTTTTTTTTAAACCGAATTATGCCCTTTCTTCGAGTATGAAAGTGGAAGAAGACGTAATTTTCTACCAAATGAGCAAAAGAATGAGTATTTTTATGCATGTTTTCGATAAAATATGATTGGACATATAGGGGCATCGACAATTAATGAGAAAAATTCATACTATATAAGTAGTCACTTGTTACAGAGTGTAGTTTTTGCATGCAGCCGTAAAGAAGTTCGTTCGCAAGCCGGCATCTTAAGGTAACTGAATTATTATTGAATTATGCTGCAGGCTGATTAGTTTTACAGCACTTCTTAATTAATCATTTCGAAACGAAAATGCATTTCGGAATTTCGGTTGGCATTTCATGAGTTAGCCCGCCCCCTCTACAGTCTACAGCTGATGCTACGCTAGAGTGAGAATGCGAAACTCCATGCCAACTACTGTACCGTTACCGCCTCGCCTTTTAATCACACGTACGAAATGTTTGCTAATTTTCTGGTCTCAATCGTCATTCATAATGCACTAAACGATCATGGCCACCGTGTTTGCGTGTCCTGTTAATTGACGAGCTTTTTCAAAATCGAAGATAGCAGAAACATCGCCAGGGAACCGTGAGTTCACGCAACCCTAACCATCCGCGCGAGCACGAGTTGACAGTCGAGTAATCTCGAAAAGTGGTGGGTTTGGCTGGGACAAGGTGAAGGACGGGGGGACGGGTGGAGTTGCCATTCTGCTAAGCTACTTAATCCGGATGAGGAGGGATATTAGCAACTGACGTCACGATTTAACCATGAAACCTGGCTGTCGCATAAATTTTCTTCTCTGCAAGCGCGTATGAGTTTGAAAGTCGTGCCAAACCAGCCGTAACCCGTAAGATGACGGTTTTCTTCTAATTGTTTTCCCTCTTGTGTCTTTCCCACGGCTTATAAGGAAAGAAAAACAGAAGTCGGAGAAAACACCGTAGCAATGGTTGTTTTTATACTGGTCGAAGACTGAAAAAATTCCGAGATGTTCGTAAAGCCTGTAACGTTTATATGAAGATCATGTGAGTGCTTATGATCCTGGCTCGAATCAATTTAGGGTCTGAGAGATAACGTTAGATAGATGATTGCAGGTTTTTAGAAAAAAACACTTATTCTTGAAAGATTTTAAACCACACACATTGAAATTAGTCAAAGTACAATCCCTGAACATTTGTGCGTCTCTACCATTGACGGACAAAATTATGTATGCACCATCAACAAAAATCCACTGAATTTGATGCTAAGAAATCCTTAAATCCAGCACCCTTCACAGTTTTTTTTCGTGGAGATGTTGCTGCTCAAGAGGTGTCTAGATGCTTAAGAAGTGGCAGTCAGTGAGAGGAAGATCAAGAAAATATGGAGTGTGTGGAACGGCCGCCTATCCCAAATCACTGGATTTCTACAGTGTCGTCCTGACAAAATGCGACCGTGCGTTGTCTTGGGGCGGAATTGGGCCACGTGGATTAATTAGTGCAGATCTCATTTTCCCCACGTGAACATGCATTTCTTTCCGTTTCCTGTAGTAAACCTCTACTGTGATGCTCTTTATTGGCCTCGAGCAAGCTGCAATGGACAACGCCAATAACAGACCATCTTCTGCTGATGCGACTTTGGTTTCGGGAAAGGTTTGAGTGCTTTGTCACGATCACATCATCGCTTACGTTGAATTATGGTGAATTCAATTTTCTTCACGCATAACTACTCAGTCAAGAAGTGGGTTATTAGGGTTTCGTTAAAATACTAATATCAAGTACCTCAGACATTTTTCTGATGCTTTGACGTGAGAGTTCTTCAGCGACTGCTTTCAAAAGTTCATTACCAAGTCTGTATGGCCGTCCTCTGCCTCCATTATCCTCAAGACTTTCTTTGCCACTAGTGAGTTTCTGAATCTACCTTCAAACTGTCCGATCTTGAAGAAGGAGACACGATCGCTTGGACAAGAGCTTTATTAGCCTGACGTTTCGGATTCCTGCTCGAACCCATCATCAGAGAAGAAAGCAGATAAGGGTGGTTCATGCATATGAGGCTGCAGTATTTATAGAATGCAGCAGCCACGCTACCGCATACCTATGAATATTCACGCCCCCCTCTCTTCATCAGGGATCGTTGCACGTGGTGTGATGGCCGACATTCACGTCGTTAATTGCTGCAATTTCATCACGTGCGTTGGATGCTGGTGTGATGATTGCTCGACCATCTGACGCGTTGACCCTGGTGTTGGGAAGAGTGTTAACCTGTGCGCTCCCTGCGTGACTAATTACTCTGCCTAAGCGCAGTCTCAGCACCAAGTATGGAATGGGAAGATCACTGCACTTGTTAATTGACTGGGGGCCATTAAACTATGACTCAAGCAGCTCCCGGCTCATGCGGTTGTTACCACTTGTGAGAATTTCGGCATCGTTAAATTTGAATATGTGGCTGGATCTCATCGAATGAGCCGCAACTTGAGAGCTGACGTGATTTCTCCCCACCCCTATAGCTTCTCCGGCGTAGCTGCTTTGGCCGCGACTGCATTAGATCCGATAAACGATTGTTTCAATCAGGAATCTGAAACGTCAGGCTACTAAACCTCTTGTCCCAGCGATCGTGTCTCCTTCTTCAAGACTGCTTCCTGGGACTCGTCTCTTCCCTTCTATTGGCTGCTTGCTTTGTTACACTGACGGTCTGTCGTTCAGGTTTCATTTGTTGGAGCAGCTCAGGAAACGCACTCTTTGTCTTCACTAGTGGTCGCTGAGGTTTCATAATGTTGTCGTTTTATGCATCCGAAATGAATCCAGATTTTCGGCTACGCGGTATCACCCCTAATACCGCCGATATTGCGGGAACAAGAAGTCACGAGAGCTGACTTTTGTTCACCTGATGAGTTCGAGTGTGAGTTGAAGTCGTCGGGCAGATGCAATATTTGCCACAACACAGGAAACATTTTTGGGTAAAACGAAAACAAGATGAGACTAAATATAACGCTTGTTGACGAAAAACCGAATCATCTTTGGTGAGAGATAAATTGTTTCCCTACTGATGCTTTTTCGTGTGCTTATACACCCAAATTCGTGCGCTGATCTATCTGCAAAGTGGCAGCAACCTAAGTAGCCAAATATAATGAAGGCACTTGCGTTGAAACCGTCAACAAAAGCCGCAGAGTAGGCGTAGTAAAATTCCGCCTGCTAGTCCTTCAGCTTTTTCGCAGACAGGTCGATAAAATGCAAATAGAAGGCAGGGGAAATATTCCAAATGACAGACGTCTACTGCCGTTTTGGGTGAAACATTTATAGAAAGCGAGTTTATGTCCAAAGTGATTATGAATTTGGTGGAAGTATTTACGTCTTAAATTCTTCGGTAGAATGTGGTTTCTATTACGTACTTTATAGACCGATAACTATGAGAGGCCTGCCGGAGACAGGCTCCAGACGTTTCTTGCCGTGGTAGTGAGTCTTTTGGTTTCACTAACTGACGCCAGACGCCTCTGCTTCTATTGGCACTGTCCGATCACTTGTTGGCCAGTCGGTTGACATTTACGGTTGTTTTGATAGCATTATAGTAGAGTTTGAAGCCAACCGGGAAAGACCTCGCTCCCACAACCAACCCAGTCATCCAGGCACAACTTTCGGGTGTTAGGGATATACACCAGTTGCTGTCATTGGGTTTAGCTTATGGATGGAGGTGCTTACTGTTTCCGTGGCGCCTGACTAGAGCATGATGTTTTGGAGTCACAAATGAGGTCTGAGTACGAGGTGCGGTCAACGCTGAACAACCAAATTATGCATTTGGACATTTTGATACACTGGAATTTATCACATTGGTGATCATTTGCTGAGGGCCTCACACACTCCCAAACTACCAGAACGGTAAGTTGTACTATACAAGTGGAACTGCAAAACTGTTTGATTCTTCTGGGAATTTTAAGCCCACTTGGCAGCGCCACTAAGGTGCCTTATTCCAAAATGCCGCGATCATCTAAAAGGGAATACTTATTGGCTAAGCCTTGCTAAATTTTATAAAGTACTCTGTGTAGTACGGGCAGGCAGACGTTAGTGCGCAGCTTCATGCAGGACGGACTTGTAGTGACATTTGAGTCCGTTTAGTTTTAATCAGTTACAATACGCTTTGACACAACTTAGAATAAGACAAAGAACACGCACGTGCACTTTTACCTGCCGACGACTTTGTTCTTATTTACTAGTTTGTAACTGTTGGGATACTGCTATTTTCCTTTCCTGGATAGCCTACTCGCTGTGCTCTTACACTGGTGACCCTGTATCGTTCATAGCTCCTTCTGTTTAATCTCTGTGCATAACTATTTCCATTCGGATTAATCCTCACTCTACTTTTTATCGATAAGATTATTCATCTAGCCCTTATTTGCTATTCACACTGCCTCACCCTTTCATCCAATACGAGCGCTACCCTTCAATCGCACTGTCAACGCGCCAGTCCTCTACCCCAATTATCCGACCTCTGACCGACACCGGTTAATTATGTCCAACGATTCTACCAGCCAGCCGATGGCCGGCATTCACACCTTTGACCTGCCATCCGTGTGGCTCGGTGACATCGCGTTGTGGCTGCGCACTGCAGAGTCACGATTCGCCCTCCGTCAGATCACGCGAGAGGATACGAAATTTCACTATGTTGTGGCAGCACTCCCAATGGACATCGCCACCGACCTCCGCGACATCATAGATTGCCCGCCCACAGAAGCTCCTTATACTGCCCTAAAGGAGGCTCTCATTTCCCGCATTTCCCTCTCAACGCAAAAACGTCTCCAACGTTAAATTCCTGAGGAGGGCCTCGGTGACAGGGAGCCAACGCAGCTTCTTAGGCGTTTGGAGCAGTCGGCAGACGGACAAAAGCTGGGTGCCACCATGTTCAAGCAACTTTTCCTCCAACGGTTGCCTCCTTCTGTGCAAGCCATCCTTGCGCCTAACATTCCTTCATCGACTGTTCAGATGCTCGCGGAGACTGCTGACCGTATACTCGAGTACTACCGGCCTCCTGTTACAGTTAACGTCGCTAGTCGAAGCCCTCTGAACAGGACATGAAAGCAGAAACGTCCAGCCCAAGTAACGAATGTGGACCTGCACCTAACTCTGGAGAGGACAAAATATCCCCATCTCCTAACTCTAACAAGGACCCTAATATAAAACTAAACTGTCGCCCTAATCTCAACCCGAACCCTGCCCTAAACCTTAAGTCAACAGGTAACATTTAAACCTAAACTTGAGCCTGATTCGCATCAACGTTAACTTTAAATCTTGTCTTGAGCATATTCCATAACGTAACCCTAACCCTAGCCTTAAACCCGGCCCCAATTTCACTGGAAGTTGGCTCAAAACCACCTGTGCTACAGACGGCTCCCGTTTAGGAGGTCATACAAGACAGCCCTACCGATATTCGGACGAATTGTAGGAGATCAGAGAAGTCGCTGCCAGGAATTTCGTTGATTTTACTTAAGGGAGAGGGGGGGGATGATGTGGGCGGGGGGGGGGGGTGCTGTTTTTGTTTATTGCACATCCTCCTTTCTCACTTTTTCGTTGCTTCTGGTGCACAGATTTGCAAATTTAATGAACCGCAAACGACCTTCGGGCATCTAGACCACGACAGTAGAATGATCATTTTCGAAATTTGAAGGGTCCTGCGTTCTGATCGGGGTAAGAATCGGGAGATGGCACCCAAAAAATCCGCCTAACCAAAGCAGCCTGTCATACGGACAGGTGGTAATAGGGGTTTTATGGGTGATGGGTGGTGGGGATGTACGATACTAGCCGACAGAAAGCCTTATTTGAACAGGTAAACGATTGAAGTTGGCCCGCTCTCCGTTCCGGGATTACAAAATGGGTCGCCAAAGGCAGTATATTGATAACGGACGAGTAGAAGGCGTATAATCGTCTTCCCTCTGAAGGTTATCTACATTTCTCTGTTAACCACTCAAACAACCTCAAGGACCCTATCACCGGACGGCACACCAATGCCATTGAGGCATACTGGAGTAGACTGGAAAGGAAACTCCACGAGGGAGGCCCTGTATGCGGTTGAGCTGTGTGGGCTCACATAGACGAAGTACAGTATCGTCTTTGGTTTGGCCTCAATGTCATGTCTTTGACAGACGCCTGGGAATTGTTCCTGTCCCATATTGTGCAGACTTATTCTATTTAAAAGTGGTTTTGCTTTGTAATAAACTGCCATAGTGGGAATATGTGTCGTATATTCAGGTGTACGTGTGTAACGATGGGGAAGGTTGGGTAACAGCGACCATCGTCCATGTAACCTCCTGCGATGTTCGTTCGGCCAGCCCGTGTTAGGCCGTCGCGGAAAGTCCAAGTAGTGCGTGAAAGTAGGCCAGCAACCGCCGATATAGTCTGAAGGCGTTTGAGTCCACTGTTAAAAGGCATTATTTCTAGGTAACGGATTATTTTTGGCTGCCATCTCCCGAATGTTACCCTGATCGGTAAATCACGGGGAACCTGGGACGCCTGCTTCCTCGGCTTGGCACTCTGATGATCCAGCTGCATGCTGCATCCTGCCTCGACGCCGCCAGACTGTAAGAGAGCAGAATAATCGATTTTGAAAGCTGAGGGGTCCTGCGTTCTGATCGGTAAATCACGGGGAACCTGGGACGCCTGCTTCCTCGGCATGGCACTCTGATGATCCTGCAGCATGCTGCATCTTGCCTCGACGCCGCCAGACTGTAAGAGAGCAGAATAATCATTTTTGAAAGCTGAGGGGTCCTGCGTTCTGATCGGTAAATCACGGGGAACCTGGGACGCCTGCTTCCTCGGCTTGCCACTCTGATGATCCTGCAGCATGCCAAATCCTGCCTCAACGCCGCCAGCCTGTAAAGCCTTGCTCTACCCCACATGACCTTGACAAAATAGGCAATGACATCACCAACTGTCTGAGCACGGTTTACTATGTGCCTTCTTGTGCGTCTGAGGGTTGGCACAACCATCTTTCAAATAGCGTGCCAGCGCGATAAAAGTACGCGCCACGCCTGCGCCAGACCCCTGTTTGGCCTATCACAGCGTGCTGCTGACACCGTCAGGAGGTCTCAGGGTGGCACCGGAGTCGATTTTATGGCCTTCCGACTGCAGAAAAGAGGGGCTTGTGAAAAGTGCTGGCTGCAGCGGCTGGCAGAGGCTTCCTCTACTCGCCACCACATTTCCTACTTTGGTTGCGGTAAACTTCCAACTCAATCGACCCCCTTCAGAGTGGATGCCATTAACTGTTATTGTTGACTTTGCTTTCCCAGAAAGTACTCATTTTTACCGCAAGGGGAACCAGATAAATTGGCCAGTTGGTCAAATAACCGTTGCTATACGTTGGGGTTAAAGGTAAAACAGGCTGGACGGGATTCCAATAGGAGAAACGATATGCTTAAAAAGAAGAGGCACAGTTGGGGTTTTTCAGACCGACTAATATTGATAGAAGACGTAAGGGCTTCCCACACTGTCATAAGGGAAGGAAGACTAGATAAGACACTGAATATGATACTCTTGTAATTATCAGAGGCGTAAGGTGTTTATTTTCTGTGGTCGGGGGCCGACACTGTGATGCCCTCGTCCTTGACCAGCGCCCTGAAGCATCAAGGTCACGCATTCGACACGCGAGCGGTCTCATAGGCCCTGTGTAACGCCCAGCAAATGGGACTGGATTGTTTGAATGCGGTGAGCACTTTTAGCGTGGATCGGGGATAGCGATGGTGTAACCGCGTGTCGGTGAAGGTAGTCAGTGCCCAATCCCTACGTAACCGCCCATCGACTTCCCGCAGTCCTCGCCATTCACCGTACCGCCTACTCCTCTCCACGTCGGCACCCTTCATGGCATTCCTCTGCGGTTGCCCCGACCGGTTGTCTAGCAGGAATGTTGACGTCAACTCCCTATTGAGACGGATCATACCTTTGGTGTAAATCATCTCCCCTTGCGGCATTTATCATTTCCCTATATACCAACCTCCACTTAGCTTATAATTTGCCCTTGCTTATCTCTCCTTTCTCGTTGCTTGATGAGAATGATGTGCATCTAACTACCTTGTTTGGCTCGTTATAGGTCAGGAGTTACATTTAGAGCTTCACGTTGCCCATTATATGCTTCCATCTACAGGCGGACTTAAATTATGGTCGGCTGCAAAATGCGACATTTCGACCATCGCGTACGACGACGCCCACCGCATGCACTCCAGAGTGGGCAGAAAACCGATGACTCGCCTGTCGATGCCACCGGATATGGACTGGAGGCCTTGATGAGAGGTTGGTGGTTCAAACCCACCCGAGGGCGCCATTTTCGCAAGTTGTGCTACGATGCGAACCTGCTTATCGTTACCCTTCGAGAGTTAGGACCTCCTTCCACATTGCCTCTCCTTAAATCTACCATTCAACTTTATGCATGGTATAATCCATTTCGCTGCGGTCTCTTGACGTGGTATCATGAAAAGCAGGTGAAATGTATGCGTATCCGTAAATCCGAACTGTGGAATAAACGGAAGGCCGTTCAATCACCCGTGGAGATGTGGTGTTATATTCATTTTAAGCCGTTTACCGGTGTGGCGGTGCTAGCCCAGATGGTAGAGCGCTCGCTTAGCATGCGAGAGGTACTGGGATCGATTCGCAGGCACTCCAGGCCGACTTTTGTCACTTCAAGAGTTTCGGTGTGCTGTGCCAGGGTGCTATTTCCAACTGAACCGTCTCCCGTACAGCTAACAGATCGTGTCGGCCATCAGTCGACAGTTCTGGAGGTCTGGCGTCAAATGTCTAACGGAAGGAGCAGCCAGCGGAGCATGCAAAGTCTCTCCCTTTTTCATTGAAACATCTAATTACGAAAAAATCACCATTAGTCCAATAAAAACGCTGCCGAAACCAGCTCAACAATATGATGACAACAGTGCGGCCCACCTGCAGTTTACCAAATACTCCGTCCACATGTACTGTGTTTGGACTTGTAGCGGCCAGCCATCATGACCGGTCTGGCGTCATTGTTAAAGACCTCGCTGCCTCAAGGTCATCAACCCCTTTGCAGTGAGCTGTTCCAGACGCGCTGACCTGAAGTCACGCGACCGACAGCTTGGGCATACCTGCATCCTCACAGCCACAGCTGCCCATGAGGCCACTGGAACGCACCGCCTCCCTGCAACCACAACCTAAGCCAATGGTACACCACCCCTCGACAAATGCAACACACACTGATTGACCACCACTTGAGCTTAGCCCACGAGCCTACAAAAGCGGCTGCCACCACTATCTCAGGGACTCTCGGGCATGAATGGACACAGTCAACTCCAGCCTTGACTTCGCCAGTGGCCGCTGCCGCCTGAGAGGATAACTCTGGGTTCTGTATACATTAGACCCCTCATTCTGGTGCCATCGGTCTTCTCCTTCCAACCTAACATTTGACTTGATTCTCAATAGAAGCACGAGACGAGACCCAGGAAGCATTCTTGAAGAAGGAGGCACGATCGCTGGGACAAGAGCTATTTTTAGCTTGACGTTTCGGATTCCTGCTCGAGCCCATCATCAGAGACAAAAGAAGATAAGAGTGGTTCATGCACAAGAGGCTGCAGTATTTATAGGATGCTGTCGCCATGCTACCGCATATTCACGGATTCCCCCTTCGTTAGGGATCGTTGTACGCGGTGTGATGACAGTTTGGTGACCGACATTCGCGTCGTTAATTGCTGCAATTTCATCGAGCGCGTTGGATGCTGGTGTGGTGATTGCTCGGCCATCTGACGCACCGATCCTGGTGTTGGGGAAAGTGTTCACCTGTACGCCATCCGCGTGGC